CTGTGAATGGATGGGGAGACTGTAGCCACAGGTTTGCAGGCTTGGGGCATGGAATCCGGATCTTCTAAAACTCAAAATCTCATTTATTAATTTTGGTGAGAAATTAAGTATCAGGTGGACAAGACAGTATTAACATTTGAGGTCCACTGCCTTTCCCCTGAGTTCCCATTGTACAATAACCTCTATTGTGATTACCACATTCCTTCTTTATATATGTTAATGTATTCAGTTAGAGTTCTGTCTTGGCTGGGGAAATAGTGTCCTTATAAAGTGTCTTGCATATCTCCGTTTTGTTTAATCCAGTGAAGCCAACTGATTTCTAAGTTCTTGGGGATAAGTCACGTCTCTTGCTTCCAGCTGCTCCCTACAAACTGTCTGAATCCGTTATTTTCTCAAAGGAAAGAAAATGTTTTAAGAATTTGTTTGTATATATGGGGTAGTTAAAAAAATGATTTTTTAAATATAATTTATTGTCAAATTGGTTTGCATACAACACCCAGTGCTCATTTTTAAGACTGTGATCTTCCAAAGTTCTAAGCAATTTAGAATGAGAGTAAGCCAAGATTTCATCTCAGGCGGCCTGGCTCCAGTGTCCATTCACTTGACGTCTGTTTGAGGGCCTCAAAGTCCACAGATAAACCCAAGGACTTTTACTATTTTTATAAAAGGAAAAGATCTCTCACACAAGTGTATATTTTGCTGGTGCTTCCCCCCCGCCCCCCAGCAAAGTTTATACTTTGCTGGTTCTTTCTAGTTCTCGGAGAACTAGATTTCATTTATAATCTGATTTCACTTAAGGGTGAACCCACTGATTGCCAACTTTGTTAAAGCAGGGGAAATGCTTGACCCTACAACATTTTCACTTGGTAGTCTATTATTTCCAGCTCCCAAGGAGGGGCTGGCTTTTTGTCTGACCCAACTACATGGATCAGTTCTAATTCTTCAGTGATACCTCTGCTACAGCGATAATACAGCAGTGATATCCTTTCCATACTGTTAACCTCTCTTTTAAAGATTATCTTGCTGTGTAACAGCCAAAATATTTTTGTAACCATTATCACTCCATTTTTCTTTGGAGAATTTCATAATTTCTTAATCTGATGCTTTTGACTAACACTGGTTGTTTGCAGGTTTCCTTCAGTTGTTTAGGAAAATATTTAAATCAGATAATACTCATTTAAAACAAGCTTTAGACAACTAACATGTTATAGGAGTGGTTTCCGTGACAGGTTTCTAAATACAAGTCGAAAGCCCCCAAATTTATTGTCATATTACGAATTTTGCCATGAGAAACACGTACACCTTGTGAGACAAACGAGCAAACAAAGAAAAGGAGAGACCAGAGCAATAAACGTGTGACATCACAAGGGAATAAGACCTCAAGTGCTGGAGAGAGGGCTTTTTTTGTGTGTCATGTTTTATTTATCTTTGAGACAGAGAGACAGAGCGTGGCAGGAGGAGGGGCAGAGAGAGGGAGACACGGAATCTGAAGCAGGCTCCAGGCTCTGAGCTGTCAGCCCAGAGCCCGACGCGGGACTCGAACCCACAGACCCTGAGATCGTAACCTGAGCAAAGTTGGAGGCTTAACTGACCGAGCCACCTGGGCGCCTGATAGATAGTTCTGCATTTTCCCAGAGCTCCTTAGGAGGCATTTTTATCTCGTCTCAGAGTTCGTGTTTATTTAACATATACCTTAGCGTGCCAGGTTTATAAACACATTTCAGGATAAAATTTAACATTATAGCAGAATGAGCTGGAGATTCTGGTTTATGCTGGATGTGCCCAGGACTGCCTGTTCCCAAACTGCAAAATATTTGCCTTCCCCTATCAGAACCGCAGACTAAATGTGTCCCAAGCCGAACTCTCCTCCTCTCTCCTCTGCTTTATCTCCTTGCAGCCTCTCAGGCCTCATTCCACTTCCAGTCCGGCTGGGTGCTCAGACTCCAGATCGTCCCTCTCCTCCTCACCTCCACCCCCATTCCTACCAGAGCCAAATCTCAGGGGTTCCCCAACAGCCCATCCTGAAGACCTCCTCGCCCTGCCTCCACCTCCTCCAATGCATCCCGCCTACTGTTGTACCGTTGTCTTCCTCTGGGTGCAACTTCCTAACAGTGCTCTTCCAAAACTTGAGCAGCAGAAGAGTTCCTAGACACCATGGCCCAAATTCAGCCTGGCATTGAATCTGGAAGAAGCATTTACAGGAGGTGTACTAGGTCACACAGCTGGTAGCTTTCTGCCTCTGTTGTTGTTATAAAGGAAAGCAGAAGTCTGTACCAAGGTATGATGGATCATAATATACTATCCACACATGCAGTTTCGTGAGAAATCTAGGCTGGAACTTGCTTTGTTCATCCTTATCTCCCTCCCTTGCTTAATTAAACCGTCATCATGCCCAGAATCCCCCCACCGCCAGCTTGCATGTCCTACAGCATTGTGCCAGCTGGTCCCAAATTGTGGTCCTTTCCACAGTCCAGCTCAGGCCTCCCTCTAGACTCAGTCCTCCCTCTCAACCCTCAAAGGACACATCATCAGATGTTGCCTTGAAGAGTCGCTGGACTCATGTCTTGACGTGCCAGAAAGTTCAAAGGCATCCGGACAGGGGCCAGCCCAGCACTTTTCCTGCTCCCACTTACACGGAAGTGCATTGCTGTTACTCAGAGAAAAAAACATTTTTTTTTTTTTAATTTTTTTTTTTTCCAAACGTTTTTTATTTATTTTTGGAACACAGAGAGACAGAGCATGAACGGGGGAGGGGCAGAGAGAGAGGGAGACACAGAATCGGAAACAGGCTCCAGGCTCTGAGCCATCAGCCCAGAGCCCGACGCGGGGCTCGAACTCACGGAGCGCGAGATCGTGACCTGAGCTGAAGTCGGACGCTTAACCGACTGCGCCACCCAGGCGCCCCGAAAAAAACATTTTAACACTGATTAAAATGTTTTGTGTGTATTTGTTTTTTTCCCAGCTTTAGTGTAATTGACAAATACAATTGTAGGATACACAAAGTGTGTATAGTGGTGATGTATATATGCATGGTGAAAGGATTCCTCCCATCTAGTTAGTTAATGCATCCATCACCAATACTGACTTTTCTTTTTTAAGTCTTTTATTTTAAGTAATCTTTACACCCAATGTAGGGCTTGAACCTGCAACCCCAAGGTCGAGACTCACACACTCTACCAACTGAGCCAGCCAGGCACCCTAACCGATGCTGACTTTTAAAAAGACTGTGGGAATTCAATCTTTTCATATCTTATGTTGTCACGAAGAAGAGTTACAAGGTTGACCACTGTGACCAGAATTAGACTTCATAAAATTGAATTCTGAAACAACTGGATGCTGGAATTAATAGAGAAGGGACTTCCTTGGCTTGGTTCTCTGCCAGGTGACTTGGGGTTTCATCAACTATGTGTTTCCTCGGGCAGTGTGTTTTTATTGAAAATTTAAGAACTGTGTAGCGATTCCACTGAAAGGAGAAACTGCACCTTGAAAACACGGTTATTACAAATTATACTATTATATTTTTATTTTTATTCAGAGAGAGAGAGCAAGCAGCAGAGAGGGGCAGAAGGAGAGAGAGAATCTTAAGCAGGTGGCAGGCTCAGTGTGGAGCTGGAGGGGTGGGGGGCTCTATGCCACAAACCTGGGATCATGACCTGAGCAGAAATCAAGAGTCGGATGCTCAACTGACTGAGCCATCCAGACTCCCACAAATTATACTATTAATAGATTTCTGAAAGCCTCAGTTTCCCTTAAGGATTTTTTTTTTTTTTAAATGGTGCTCAAGTGAAAGCCTTTTAAGTGATTATGGATTGGATAGGTGGCAAGGTTAACTGTAAAATCAAAAGCCATTGTCAAGGCCAAGAAATCCTCAGCCAATAATGGATGCATGCGGGATAACTGGATGGAATCCCAGAAGAGCTCCTATCTCTCTGATTTTATTTCATTTTAGAACAGCACAGAGGTCCGCCGAGGGCTTTCAAGCGAGGTGCGTGGGGCTCCATTTTTAAGCTCTGCTGCAAAGAGTGGAACCTTCCGCAGGATGCTCCCTTCTCTGTGCTTTAGGCCTATGGTCTGGGGTCTGATCCTCATTCTGCCTCTGACCAGCTAGCTGTATACGCGTGAACAAGTTCTTTCATTTCCTTGTGATTGTTTCCTCATCTTAACAATGGATCATTCTAATGTCCATTTCATAATCTTGTTTTATTCGAGGAGATTTTTACCTCGAAAGCACTTAGAATAGCTCTTGTAAGAACACTTCGGTGTTTCATAACTAGAAGTTATGGCTGTTACTAACACTAATATTACTATTACTTACAATTTCCTGCGGGGTTGTTGAAAAGGTTAAATGCAAGCACACTCACCAGGACGGGCTACTTACTTTGCAGAAACCAGTACAAAATGAAAATACAGGGGCCTGTGTTCCAAAATCGTTAAGAAGTCCAAGGCTGGAACAGCCAAACATTCAACCAAGCACGGGACCCTGCTGAGCAGGGTACAAGCTCACAGGCTGCACGCCCCGGAAGCCGGCCTTGGAAGGAGCACAGTGTCTGCACACAGCAGGTGCTACATAAACCCTCTTCACCTTTGTGTCAGCATCCTCCTACACCTCCGGCGCGCAAGCGCCGTAACGTTTACCATACCACTGACCACTCGTTGTCACTTGTGCCTGCCCGGCAGAAGGACAAGACCTGGAATCACGCCCGTGGGGCAGCCCCACGGCGAAGACCCGGGACCCCCAGCCTTTTGGCGAGTGTCTGCCGCTCAACCAAGCCTAGGCCAGACGGGGCCGCTAGGGCCTCCGAGGCCGCCGCAGGACGCAGTCCGCAGGATCTGGGTCTGTCCCGCGGCCCCGAGCCGCATCTCCGAGGCCGCAGCCCCGCCCGCCGCCAGGGCCCGCGAGCGCCGCGGGCCCTTGTTTGCTAGTTGCCCGAGGAGACGCGCGCGCACGCGCACCCGCACCCGCACCCTGCGCTCCGCGTCGCCTGCGCTCCGAGCGCGCCATGAGCCGCGGCCGCTCCTCCGGCTCCAGGCGCCTGGACCCGGCCGGCCACGCCGCCCGCAGCGCCTCGTCGCCCGCGCCCGAGGTACGGTCCCAGCCCGCCGGCCGCGCGCGGGGGTGGCCCCAGGCGGCCTCCCCGAACGCCGCGGAGCACCGGGGGGTGAGCGGCCGCGGGACGCCCAGGCGCTCACATTTGCAAACTTCTTCCCAGGGCGTGGGTGCATCGTGGAGGGTCCAGCCCCGCCTTGGAAGTGGACTGGAACTGCCCGCGGCTGGCTGGGTAATTTTAGGAAGTTATGGGCGGGTCGTGAGTTTGTGAAGCGCGTCTGAGCTTTTGGTGGTACCAGTTTGCTTCTCTGTGTTTGAACGGGTGAAATTCTAAAGACCGCTCCTGTCGACCCTCCCCGACCCCCGCCCTCTTCGTTCATTTAACTTCCACTGCTTGCCTAGTGAGAAGTGATTCAGAGCAGTTTCTTCAAGCCCTGGTGTGGTAGAATTAATGACGGTCCTGAGCAACGTTGCTGGCCTTTTCGTTGCTAATCACCCTGTAAACAACCATTAAGTCGTCCTTGGATCTAAGTATTCAATTACTCTCAGGAGGTACTTAAGCACCGGGGACTTTGGGGCATCAGATATGCAGTAACGCACGCACAAACGCGCACACACACGAAGTTAGGGCTGGCTCAGCCCGGGTTATCTCCTTTTACCTGGCATTAGGGTCATAGTGTGTTAGGCATAGTGTGTTAGGGGTGTTGCCAGGGACGGGGGAGTCATTGTGTTCCTCTGAATTGCTAACCTGAGAGTTGTCCTCAGCCTAACCCTACTGACCACAGAAATTCCTCTGGCGGGGGCACTCTTAGATTCAAAAATGGGGTGGATTCTCAAACATGTTATAGGAATTCTTCTAATACTCAGCACCTTTGAATGCTGCTTTACATCTGACCTATATTTCGATTTCTCTGATTCTTGGCTTCTTGTGGAAAATCAGTAACATATTGTACAAATAAAACTAATTTTTTTCCACTTGACATTTTATCCCAATATGGTATCCTCTGTGAATTAAGTATGTTAGTCCGTGCATAAGTATGTATCCTTTTTTTTTTTTTTATTATTTATATTTGTTTGGAAAAACGATTGAAAGTACGTTATAGACGTTATGGCCCTTCATCCCTGAATATTCTAGTAGGTATCTCCTAAGAGAAACACATTCTCTGACCAAAATACATTGATCATATTCAGGGTGTTTGACATCGCTACAGTAATTTTATCTAATATATGCTATCTACAAAAATTTTGCCTTGTCCCAATAATGCCATTTACTGCACCATACTTTTTCATTATCATGCATTGTATTTAGTTATGTGTCTTTAGTCTCTGTAAACCTTGAATAGTTCCCCAATCTTTTTGGCTTTGATGACACTGATATTTTTACAGAGTCTAGGTTACTTGTAGAAAAAGTTTGTCTGATTGTTTTTCGTTAGATTTTTGGTAGAAGAACTCTAAAGTTATGTGTTTCAGTGCATCACACCGGGAGGTACATGAGGTCACTTCATCCCACTTTTGGTGGTCCTGATTGGTGGTGTTTGCCAGAGTTTTCCACTGTAAAAGTGAAAAAACAAAAGCTTTAGCAATAAATAAGTGATCATATTGCATAGTCTTCTTGGTTCGTATTGAGATTTTAAGGATAAATTTATCTGCCTACACAAAGGAAAATATTTACCAAGCCTTTTATTTTTTTATTTTTTTTATTTAAAAAAAATTTTTTTTTTCAACGTTTATTTATTTTTGGGACAGAGAGAGACAGAGCATGAACGGGGGAGGGGCAGAGAGAGAGGGAGACACAGAATCGGAAACAGGCTCCAGGCTCTGAGCCATCAGCCCAGAGCCCGACGCGGGGCTCGAACTCACGGACCGCGAGATCGTGACCTGGCTGAAGTCGGACGCTTAACCGACTGCGCCACCCAGGCGCCCCACCAAGCCTTTTAATTGACCTGAAAGACATAAATTTTATTGAGACTAAAAGTAGAAGCAGAAAGACCAGGATTGGTTACAGTTAATTTGTCAGTTTGCTAAATACTTCATCTGTGACAGTCGTATAACTCAGGTAGGTAAGGCAAGAATTTCCCATTATATAGATGTCGAAATGGCTTGCTCAGTTAGCAACTGAGGTAGCCGGGACTTAAATATCCTGCTTTTGACAGTTTAGTAGTACTTTTCCTACTACACCATCATGTACTGAAAAACAGACTAAATACAACAGTATGCAACTGTATGAGGAAGGAGAATACTGCTGAGGCTGAAGGTATTAGTTTTGAGTTCAGGCAATTCTGAGTATATCACTTACTACCTGTGATGCCATGAGCAAGAGAATTCCTTACGTCTGTAAACTTGAGTTTCTTCATCTGAAGCATGGTACCAGAGTATTTACCACATCGGATAGTTTTGGGATTTCACAGTTAATATATTTGATGCATCCAACAGAGTGACAGAATAAGTGCTTATTAATATGAGCCATTCTTATTCTATATAGCTTTTGGAATTGGCCTTGGCATCTGTATCACTACTGTCATCACTGATACCTCCATTAATGCCTCAGTCACCACCTCAACAATCAGTAATTGAGGATCCGTGTGAGATACTGAGGGTAAAAAAAATGAATTTGAGGGGTGCCTGGGTGGCTCGGTCGGTTAAGTTTCCAGCTTCAGCTCAGGTCGTGATCTCGTGGCTTGTGAGTTCCAGCCCCGCGTCGGGCTCTGTGCTGACACCTCAGAGCCTGGAGCCTGCTTCAGCTTCTGTGTCTCCCTCTTTCTCTCTGCCCTTTCCTCACTGGTGCTTTGTCTCTCTTCCCCTGTCAAACATAAATAAACATTAAAAACAATTTAAAAATGAATTTGACAGTCTTTGCTCTCAATGAAGGATCAGGAGTTCATAATCAAGAGAAACAGACACAAAAACAGTGATTTTTGTTGGTATCACCCATGAACCAAATTTAATGCTGCATTTTTCTCACGTTGGGTTTACGTCTAATGAAATCATCATCAGAGCTTTACTAGGTTAGAGAACGCGATGAATACTAAGAATGATATTGTGTGACTTGAAGTATAACAGCTCAAGCATGGAAGACAGAAACATGCTTTGGGGAAATTTACAAATACAGCTTTAAGCAGAACAGTGTAACTTTGCCATGCGTTTGAAATAAGGCATGGGAGCTGAAAAATGTTACCAAATTATTAAAATGATGTCAGTCAGCAAAAAGCTATAGCAATCATTTGGTAAAAAGTGATTGGATGTGGTATGAGAGGCCACAGACATATGGTGGCTTTGCTTGGCCAGTGTTTTCACGTACCTGGAAGACCTGAACCAAAGTTACGGCTCTGGCACATGCCGCTGTTGGGAATTTGAGCAAGTTTCTTTCCTCTCTGTAAAACAGGTTAATTAGAATAACTGTCTGATGGGGTTGTTGAAGAAAATGTAAATAGCAACACAGGTTACCTACAGCATTAGGTCCTCAAAGCAAAGGACTTGGAACTGGTCAGGTATAATTATGAAGGAAGTAAAGTCAGTTTTCCCTTTATTTCTCCAGTATTTCCACTTTTTTTTAGTATTAAAATTTTTAAAAAATGTTTATTTTTTGAAAGGGAGACAAAGCACGAGCTGGGGTGGGGCAGAGAGAAAGAGAGACACAGAATCGGAAGCAGGCTCCAGGCTCTGAGCTGTCAGCACAGAGCCCGACGCAGGGCTGGAACTCACGAACTGTGAGCTCATGACCTGAGCCAAAGTCGGATGCTTAACTGACTTAGCCACTCAGGTACCCCTCCACTATTTCCACTTTAAAAAAAAAAAAATTTTTTTTAATGTCTATTTTTGAGAGAGAGAGAGAGAGAGAGAGAGACAGAGAGAGACAGAGTGTGAGCAAGGGAGGGGCAGAGAGAGAGGGAGACAGAGGATCCAAAGCAGGGTCTGCACTGTCAGCACAGAGCTTGATTCAGGGCTCAAACTCACAAATTGTGAGATCATGACCTGAGCCAAAGTTGGATGCTTAACTGACTGAGCCACCTAGACCCCCCTATGAAAGACATATAAACAAAAGTACATGGAAAAGTTGAAAACAGAGTCTATAAAAAAATTTATCAGGCAAAAAATAAGCAAGAGAAAGCTGATTAGATATAATGTACAAAATACTTTTAAGGCAAAAATGTACTACTAGAGGTAAAGGGAGTCACTATAATGATACAAATTGTATCACTGTCTCACAATAATAAAAGTTTTCATTCAACAGGAAGTTGTAAGAATTGTAAAATGTATATGCAGTAACATGGCATCAAAACTTAGCATTCAAATATGTAAAACAAATATTGACAGAAGCAAAAATCTATAAGGAGATATAGACAAATCCAAACTAGAGTAGAATTTTTCCCACATACCTCTGTTACCAGCTGAAATATCAACCAGGCAGAAATTGGTCAGAGAGCTATTAAAGGGCACCAGGGTGGCTCGGTTGAGTGATGGACTCTTGATTTCGGCTCAGGCAACGATCTCAGCTCAGGTCATGATCTTGCATTTTGTGGGTTCTAGCCCTACGATGGGCTCTGTGCTGACAACTTGGAGCCTGCTTGGAATTCTCTCTCTTCTTTCCTTTCTCTCTCTCAAAATAAACTTAAAAAAAAAAAA